ATTGTTTTATTTCTGAAGAAGTTTTAAGAATCTCAGGGGCATCTGTTGTTTTATTTTTGAAGAAGTTTTAAGAATCTCAGGGGCACCTGTTGTTTTATTTTTGAAGAAATTTTAAAGATCTCATTGGCACCTCGTCTTTTATTTTTGAAAAAGTTTTAAGAATCTCAGGAGCACCTGTAACTTTATTTTTGAAGAAGTTTTAATAATCTCAGGGGCACCTGTTGTTTTATTTTTGAAGAAGTTTTAAGGATCCCAGGGGCATCTATTGTTTTATTTTTGAAGAAGTTTTAAGAATCTCAGGGGCACCTGTTGTTTTATTTTTGAAGAAGTTTTGAGAATCTCAGGGGCACCTATTGTTTTATTTCTGAAGAAGTTTTAAGAATCTCAGGGACACCTGTTGTTTTATTCTTAAAGATGCTCTAAGAATCTCAAGGGCACCTGTTGTCTTATTTTTGAAGAAGTTTTAAGTATCTCAGGGGCACCTGTTGTTTTATTTCTGAAGAAGTTTTAAGTATCTCAGGGGCACCTGTTGTTTTATTTCTGAAGAAGTTTTAAGAATCTCAGGGGCATCTGTTGTTTTATTTTTGAAGAAGTTTTAAGAATCTCAGGGGCACCTATTGTTTTATTTTTAAAGAAATTTTAAGAATCTCAGGGGCACCTGTTGTTTTATTTCTGAAGAAGTTTTAAGAATCTCAGGGGCACCTGTTGTTTTATTTTTGAAGAAGTTTTAAGAATCTCAGGGGCACCTGTTGTTTTATTTTTGAAGAAGTTTTGAGAAGCTCAGGGGCACCTGTTGTTTTATTTTTGAAGAAGTTTTGAGAATCACAGGGGCATCTATTGTTTTATTTCTGAAGAAGTTTTAAGAATGTCAGGGGCATCTGTTGTTTTATTTTTGAAGAAGTTTTAAGAATCTCAGGGGCACCTGTTGTTTTATTTCTGAAGAAGTTTTAAGAATCTCAGGGGCATCTGTTGTTTTATTTTTAAAGAAATTTTAAGAATCTCAGGGGCACCTGTTGTTTTATTTCTGAAGAAATTTTAAAGATCTCATTGGCACCTCGTCTCTTATTTTTGAAAAAGTTTTAATAATTTCAGGGGCACCTGTAATTTTATTTTTGAAGAAGTTTTAAGAATCTCAGGGGCATCTACTATATTATTTTTGAAGAAGTTCTAAGAATCTCAGAGGCACCTGTTGTTTTATTTTTGAAGAAATTTTAAGAATGTCAAGGGCACCTGTTGTTTTATTTTTGAAAAAGTTTTAAAGATCTCAGGGGCACTTCGTCTTTTATTTTTGAAAAAGTTTTAAGAATTTCAGGGGCATTTATTGTTTTATTTTTGAAGAAGTTCTAAGAATCTCAGGGGCACCTATTGTTTTATTTTTTAAGAAGTTTTCAGAATCTCAGGGGCACCTGTTGTTTTACTTTTGAAGAAATTTTAAAGATCTCATTGGCACCTCGTGTTTTATTTTTGAAAAAGTTTTAAGAATCTCAGGGGCACCTGTAATTTTATTTTTGATGAAGTTTTAAGAATCTCAGGGGCATCTATTATATTATTTTTGAAGAAGTTCTAAGAATCTCAGGGGCACCTGTCGTTTTATTTTTGAAGAAATTTTAACGATCTCAGGGGCACCTCGTGTTTTACTTTTGAAGAAGTTTTAAGAATCTCAGGGGAACCTGTTGTTTTATTTTTAAAGATGCTCTAAGAATATCAGGGGCACCTGTTGTTTTATTTTTGAAGAAGTTTTAAGAATCTCAGGGGCACCTATTGTTTTATTTCTGAAGAAGTTTTAAGAATCACAGGGGCATCTGTTGTTTTATTTTTAAAGAAATTTTAAGAATCTCAGGGGCACCTGTTGTTTTATTTCTGAAGAAATTTTAAAGATCTCATTGGCACCTCGTCTTTTATTTTTGAAAAAGTTTTAATAATTTCAGGGGCACCTGTAATTTTATTTTTGAAGAAGTTTTAAGAATCTCAGGGGCATCTATTATATTATTTTTGAAGAAGTTCTAAGAATCTCAGAGGCACCTGTTGTTTTATTTTTGAAGAAATTTTAAGAATGTCAAGGGCACCTGTTGTTTTATTTTTGAAAAAGTTTTAAAGATCTCAGGGGCACTTCGTCTTTTATTTTTGAAAAAGTTTTAAGAATTTCAGGGGCATTTATTGTTTTATTTTTGAAGAAGTTCTAAGAATCTCAGGGGCACCTATTGTTTTATTTTTTAAGAAGTTTTGAGAATCTCAGGGGCACCTGTTGTTTTACTTTTGAAGAAATTTTAAAGATCTCATTGGCACCTCGTGTTTTATTTTTGAAGAAGTTTTAAGAATCTCAGAGGCACCTGTTGTTTTATTTTTGAAGAAATTTTAAGAATCTCAGGGGCACCTGTTGTTTTATTTCTGAAGAAATTTTAAGAATCTCAGGGGCACCTCTTGTTTTATTTCTGAAGAAGTTTTAAGAATCTCAGGGGCATCTGTTGTTTTATTTTTGAAGAAGTTTTAAGAATCTCAGGGGCACCTGTTGTTTTATTTTTGAAGAAATTTTAAGAATCTCAGGGGCACCTGTTGTTTTATTTCTGAAGAAGTTTTAAGAATCTCAGGGGCATCTGTTGTTTTATTTTTGAAGAAGTTTTAAGAATCTCAGGGGCACCTATTGTTTTATTTTGAAGAAGTTTTAAGAATCTCAGGGGCATCTGTTGTTTTATTTTTTAAGAAGTTTTGAGAATCTCAGGGGCACCTGTTGTTTTACTTTTGAAGAAATTTTAAAGATCTCATTGGCATCTCGTGTTTTATTTTTGAAAAAGTTTTAAGAATCTCAGGGGCACCTGTAATTTTATTTTTGATGAAGTTTTAAGAATCTCAGGGGCATCTATTATATTATTTTTGAAGAAGTTCTAAGAATCTCAGGGGCACCTGTCGTTTTATTTTTGAAGAAGTTTTAAAGGTCTCAGGGGCACCTCGTGTTTTACTTTTGAAGAAGTTTTAAGAATCTCAGGGACACATGTTGTTTTATTTTTAAAGATGCTCTAAGAATATCAGGGCCACCTGTTGTTTTATTTTTGAAGAAGTTTTAAGAATCTCAAGGGCACCTATTGTTTTATTTCTGAAAAAGTTTTAAGAATCTCATGGGCACCTGTTGTTTTTTTTAAAGATGCTCTAAGAATCTCAAGGGCACCTGTTGTTTTATTTTTGAAGAAGTTTTAAGAATCTCAGGGGCACCTGTTGTTTTATTTCTGAAGAAGTTTTAAGAATCTCAGGGGCACCTATTTTTTTATTTCTGAAGAAGTTTTAAGAATCTCAGGGGCATCTGTTGTTTTATTTTTGAAGAAGTTTTAAGAATCTCAGGGGCACCTGTTGTTTTATTTCTGAAGAAGTTTTAAGAATCTCAGGGGCACCTGTTGTTTTATTTTTGAAGAAGTTTTAAGAATCTCAGGGGCATCTATTGTTTTATTTTTGAAGAAGTTTTGAGAATCTCAGGGGCACCTGTTGTTTTATTTTTGAAGAAGTTTTGAGAATCTCAGGGGCACCTGTTATTTTATTTTTGAAGAAGTTTTAAAAGTCTCAGGGGCACCTGTTGTTTTATTTTTGAAGAAATTTTAAAGATCTCATTGGCGCCTCGTCTTTTATTTTTGAAAAAGTTTTAAGAATCTCAGGGGCACCTGTAATTTTATTTTTGATAAAGTTTTAAGAATCTCAGGGGCATCTATTGTTTTATTTTTGAAGAATTTTTGAGAATCTCAGGGGTACTTATTGTTTTATCTTTGAAGAAATTTTAAAGATCTCATTGGCACCTCGTCTTTTATTTTTGAAAAAGTTTTAAGAATCTCAGGGGCACCTGTAATTTTATTTTTGAAGAAGTTTTAAGAATCTCAGGGGCACCTGTTGTTTTATTTTTGAAGAAGTTTTAAAGATTCCAGGGGCATCTATTGTTTTATTTTTGAAGAAGTTTGAAAAACCCTAAGTATACCTAGTGTTTTATTTTTGAAGAAGTTCTAGGAATCTCAGGGGCACCTGTTGTTTTATTTTTGAAGAAGTTGTAAAAATCTCAGAGGCATTTCTTGTTTTATTTTTGAAGAAGTTTTAAGAATCCCAGGGGCACCTGTCGTTTTATTTTGAAGAAGTTTTGAGAATCTCAGGGGCACCTGTTGTTTTATTTTTGAAGAATCTTTAAGAATCTCAGGGGAACCAACTGTTTTATCTTTGAAGAAGTTTGAAAGATTTCAGAGGCACCTCGTCTTTTATTTTTGAAAAAGTTTTAGGAATCTCCGGTACACACAGTGTCTTATTTTTGAAGAAATTTGAAGATCATCAGTGGCATTCGAAGCTTTATTTTTCAAGAAATTTTAAGAACCTAGGGGATCCCTTTTATTTTGAGCTTCTGAAATGTGATCGGTCCCCTCATAATCACGTCGTAAAATTTGAATCCATAGGAAAATACTGATTTGAGTATAATTTGTATTGTATACAAATAATAAACTCATAGTAAAACTAATCAAAGTGTTAAATTTGCCCACTTAACCGCAAGTAACATTAGGTCGCACCGAAATTCCAAATTTCCGTCCCCCATAAACCCCCCCTTCCCCCGCCGCCCCCGCCGCCGTTGCGCCATTTAGCGCATTTTCCACTAATTTCTCGCAAACACAGGTCAAAATAAATTGTAGTGAAGCGTAAAGACGTCCGATAACGTTAAAAATTTCGCATTCACAACGGCTGCTCATTATCGAGCAAGTCGGGGGCCGCGCGTCGAACGAAGTGATGAAACACTTTAATTTCCGACTGCGAAAACTGGGCCGCATTAACTCATTGTTCGAGTTGATTTAATAAACGCAAGATTTACCTTGAAAGTGGCATAATATTTGTGGAGCGACGACGTCGACGCTGTCGCAGCGTCGTCGAACGTTTGCACTCGTAAAATTGATGAATTGATAGGGAATTTAATTATGTCGGTCGAGCGGCCGCCGAGGAACTCTCCTTTTTTCGCAGGCTCCCGCGCCCAAATTGAGTGGACTCACCTCGAGGAGGCCGCCTTCCGCGGCGGCGATCCCGTACACCAGAATCAATAGCAGCCACGACCAGATATCCATAAAACTGCAACAAGAGCACGGTTAGGTATGCATGAAAAAAGGGACAAGTGCGCCGGGCAAGGGTAGTCGAGGACCTTTTCGTTTGAGTTATTTAGGCGGGATGGGTTTTCTTTGGCAGTTTCGGGCTGATTTCTTTGGGTTGATTTTGTCGGGGACGTTGAGTTTTATAATTTATTTTTTTTTTAAACTGCGTACGTACTCGTTTTCGAGATTCGCTACAGCTGAAAAATAATTAATAAAGAACAATAACCTCGAATGCGATATGCACGACAAAAGCGGAGTGAATTGAAGACGTCTGCACGAGAAAGAATCCAAATTAAAAAGATGGTCGGTTAGCGAGTTTTCCTGCAACAGAAATGACGAAAATAATTACGACGAGAAAGACGCACACTCATAGAAAACCCATCAGCAGTAATTACTATTATTTTAGAATAGCGGGAGTGGAGAGCACTTTAAAAAAGAACAGACTTTATTCGCAGTTTTTTTTCTTTTCGTCGTCGGATTTTTCGTGCACACTATTTAATAAAAACACGCCACTAGATATTTTCAAAAGCTGTCCGTCACCGCCGCCCCCGCGTAAATTGCGCACATCGCTTAAGTAAAAGAAGCAGCCCCGTGCCATCTGTTGCTGGCTTAGCATGATGGACGGTACAAGATTGGAGGTTGATCGATTGACGACACGGTCCCCTAACTTTTATAAAACGCCGAATCTGGTGCCCTGCCGCCTCCTAAACCGTTATAAAGTGTCAGATTAGACTTCCTTTATCGACCCATTCCTCTTGTGTCGAACTGTTTTAATTTTCGGTGACGCGAAAGCGATGTCCCTCTGCGCGTCTTTTTTAAAAAACATTAGGAGAGCAAAAGAACGCGTCTTTGACTGCAAGATGAGAGGCGACATCTCATATTAATTCCGCCCTTGGCCATCCTTGAAGATTAAAGACGTTCCATCTGCAAAGCAGACAGATCGCGATGATTAAAAGTCGCAAAGAAAACATCCCAAAATCGATGAATATTTCCCGATGCGAGGGGAAAAATTTAGAGGGTGTATTGTGTGGCGGGGTAACCCGGTAAACACAGGTTACTATGTTACATCTGCGTTCGCTCTACCGTGTATGTAATCAACATGGTACTAGTTTTGGTCAGGGTTGGAAGTAATTCAATTACAAGTAAATCATTATCATTACTGTAATTCAATTCGGAATTACATACATTTTTTTGTTGAGTAATTCAGTCACTTTTGCAATTATTCCAATATTTTTTAATAATCTGTCATTTTGTAAATGAATCAGTACACAAAACTGACAAGATTTAGATTCTCATCACTTCACTAACGAGTTATTTACCTGAACAATCACATTTATTTAAATTTAATTTTTTGATACTGTTTTCCGCACCACCTAGGTGGTAAAGTATTACAGGGGCGCTTTTTTTACGTGATATCTCCAGTAGACCTATTCCACTATTACTATTTATTCCTGCGAATGCAAATACAAATTTTTTAATTTACAATTTTTTTTTTAGAATTTGTCTGATGGGTTGACTTCTTTTATAACGAGAATCTACTATCTCCGGAAGTAAGACATATAAATAAAATTTTTCTAGGGGCTCTATCATATTATGTACTCAAAATTTATCGTCTCGTTGAATTATGCAATATTTAAATTTTTTTGTTTAACTAAAAATTAATTCTTTCATTGTGTTTGATACAAACAAAACGTCCTAAATTAGCAAAACTAGTGGAACCGTATTCATCCAATAGATTTTTTTTTGGAAAGTACAATTATTTTTATGTTTTAGCAGCATTGTGTTTAAAAAAAAATTAAACTGGAAAATCGAAAATTTAAAAAATCTCGAAAATTGAAAAATTGAAATATAGAAGAACCGAAAGTCGAGAAATCAAAAATTTTAAAAATCGAAAAATTAAAATATCGAAAAGTAGAAAAATTGAGAAATCCAAATATAAAACAGCCGAAAATTGAAAAATCTGAAGTTTAAAAAAAGAAAAACTGAAGATCGGGAAATCCAGAAGTCGAAAAATCGTAAGCTTATAAAATCGAAAAATTGAAAAATCAAAATCCTGAGAAATTGAAAAATTGAAACATCCGAAACCTGAAAAATCGAAAAATTGAAGAATTGAAGAAGTGAAAAATCCAAATTTTGGGAAGAGATGGGAAAATAAAAAAAAGATTACTTCAGAAATCGGAAAATTAAAAATTTAGAAACGTCAAAATTTGAAAAATTCAGAAATTGAAAAATCGAAATATTTAGAAATCGTAAAATTGAAGAGGATAAAAATTGAAAAATGGGATCATTGAAACATCGGAAAATTGACAAATCGAAAAATAAAAAAATGGAGAAAAATTTGAATGACTATAAACGTGGTTGCTGGTACATTGTCATAACGTTGGGAGTGCATCGCTAGATTATCTAGATTTTGATGGATCAGTTACTTTAATTATTTGTTCTTCTGTAGAATAGGTGTGGGGCTCTTAAAACAGAAAAAAAGGGCTAACCGTATTTTTTTATTATGTTATTTACTTTAAGATTTATTTCTTATTTTAGAAGAAACAAATGAGAAGAACGGGTGGGAGGCGGGGCTAAGTTTAACTTTTTTTTTCAACGAGTGAAAAGCTTTTAGACCAATCTATTCAAAGTTTTAAACCAGAATGCTGATTATATGTTTAGGATGAATCTTTCATCGTTGTTTCGTTCATGAAACCGATCTAAAAAGTAACCCAATCAAACTTAGCAGTAGAGGATTTTGTAGATAAACTGAAGAATCTATTGTGGTACACTGGAAAAAACATGGGAAATTTACGGTTCGAAAGTAAAACTTTTGTCATTACGCTTCTATTCACGTCAAAATTTTATTTTTGTACATTAAAATTTCATAGTAAATCGAATTATTTTTTTAATATTCTAAATTCTAAAATTGAGTTTATTTGTTTTTTTAACACGTCATATTTCAACTTTTCAAAATTTTGTCTTATTTTTTTGAATATAACACAACCTCAAATTACTGATTCTAATAATGTAACTTTTACTGTACTAGTGTTTTTAAATTTCTATGAAAAACATATTTTTTCTTACTTGCACCAAAAGTGTATCGAAATTTTTAACATGCAAGGTTAATTTTTATTACTGTAGATTTTAAAGTCAATCGTGGCAAATTTGTAGAGTGGCTCCGCCCATCCGTCCCCTCTTTATTCTAGTGACTACTCTTAATATTGTTCAGCCTTATCTTAGCAAGTACTAGCCCCGCCCACCCACCCTCTATTTTCTTACAGGATATCATTTGCCAAAATCAGTCTCGTTGTGGCAAGTACTAACCCCGCCCACCCACCCTCTGTCTTCTTGGAAGCTATGTCATTTGCCAAAATTCGTCTTATCTTGGCAAGTATTAACTCCTCCCACCCATCCACACTCTTCTTATTCTAAGAACTAATTTTATTTCGATTCAGTTTGGGATCCATTTTTATTCAGACCAGATGAAATGAATCACTGAAATGGGGACCGGATGAGTGGGCGGGGTTAATTACTTTTTTTCTGTAGAATAGGTGTGAGGTTGTTAAAAAGAAAAAAAAGGCTAACCGAATTTTTTTAGTATATTATTTACTTTAAGATCTATTTCTTATTTTATAACAAACAAATGAAAGAACGGGTGGGTGGGCGGGGCTAAGTTTAACTTTTTCTGCAGTCTTTTATAGGCAAGCACTAGCCCCACCCATCTGCCTCCTCTTCACCCAATCGTTAAACCGTTGGTGAAAAAATTGATAAATTACTTTACTGATGGTTATATCAAAAGGTTATTTTTTATTACTGTATTTTAAAATCGAGCGTGCCAAATTTGTAGAGTGGCTCCGCCCATCCATCCCCTCTTTATTCTAGTGACTACTCTTAATATTATTCAATCTTATCTTAGCAAGGACTAGCCCCGCCCACCCACCCTCTATTTTCTTAAAGCATATCATTTGCCAAAATCAGTCTCGTCGTGGCAAGTACTAACCCCGCCCACCCACCCTCTGTCTTCTTGGAAGCTATGTCATTTGCCAAAATTCGTCTTATCTTGGCAAGTATTAACCTCTCCCACCCACCCACGCTCTTCTTTTTCTAAGGACTAATTTAATTTCTGTTCAGTATGGGATCCATGTTTAATCAGACCAGATGAAATGTATCACCGAAATGGAGACCGGGTGGGTGGACGGGGGTTAATTATTTGTTCCTCTGTAGAATAGGGGTAGGGCTGTTAAAAAAAAAGACTGATCGTATTTTTTTGTTATAGTATTCATTTTCAAATTTAGTTCTTATTTTAGAAGAAACAATTTAAAGAACGGGTGGGTGGGCGGGGCAAAATTTAACTTTTTCCTGCAGAGTCTTTTATAGGCAAGCACTAGCCCCGCCCCTCTGCCTCCTCTTCACTCTAGTGATTACTCTAAATGCTGCTAATTAATGACAACATTATTCTTTTATTAGTCTTAGGCAAATCGTTAACCCGTTGGTGAAAAAATTGATAAATTACTTTACTTATGGTTGTATCAAAAGTTTACTTTTTATTACTGTTGATTTTAAAATTAATCGTGCCAAATTTGTAGAGTGGTTCCGCCCATCCATCCTCTCTTTATTCTAGCGACTACTCTTAATATTGTTCAGTCTTATCTTAGCAAGTATTAGCCCCGCCCACCCATCCTCTATTTTCTTAAAGAATATCATTTGCTAAAATCAGTCTTGTCTTGGGAAGTACTAGCCCCGCCCACCCACCCTCTGTCTTCTTGGAAGCTATGTTATCTGACAAAATCAGTCTAATCTTGGCAAGTATTAACCCCTCCCACCCACCCACACTCTTCTTATTCTAAGGACTAATTTTATTTCGGTTCAGTTTGGCATCCATTTTCATTCAGACCACATGAAATGAATCACTGAAATGGGGACCGGGTGGGTGGGCGGGATTATATATTTTTTCTTCCGTAGAATATGTGTGTGGTTGCTAGAAAAGAAAAAAAAGGG